AAGCAATAAAGTCGCCTCAACGCAAGTAAATCCCACCACTCAAGTGCAAACGCCAACAACGTCGACGGGACAACCTGCACAAGGAACAAGGAACATCGTCAGCTGCATGGCAAGATTGACCGACTCCTGCATCACCGAATCGCCGCCGCACTACTCACCGGAAGAACAACTCGACGAAAGGACTCCACGTCGCGAGTCACTGCAACCGAACCCAACGTACGCAGCCATCGCCCAAAGTGAACCGTCTGGGAAGGATACCTGGTTCTTGGATAGTTGCTGCGGACAACACATGTGCTCTTCAGGTCGCTTCGTTCAACGGGAATACCATCTTCAACGGGAAGTCGTCATCACCGTCGCGAACAACCAAAACCTGCGCACACGACGACAAGGCGTGGTGCAACTACAGTCACGAGAGACAAACGTCATATTACAGATGTCAAAAGTATTAATTGCAGAGAGACTCGGCTACAACTTACTGAGCGTCAGTCAGCTGATGGCGAAAGGCATCCTCCTCGAAGCAGACAGCACAACACAGGAGTTCAAGTTATACCACGGGAAGGGCGGTCTCTACATCGGGAAGGCGGTCCTGAAAAATAACGTCTTCGTCCTCGACTTCGTCCCAGATCTTGGCACCGCTCCCAGCGACGGGATTGTCACCTTCACCTCCTGGACACATCCACCGGATCTCGACCCCAACTTGAGTCCCGAAGGCTTCGGGTAATCGCACACCATCCCTGAGGCAGAACGAACAAAAGCATTAGCAACGATTCAACACTCGGCAGCAGCAGAGACAACATCGGCAGCAGTAGAGACAACACAGGCAGCAGTAGAGACAACATCGGCAGCAGCAGAAACAACGGCAGCAGCAGCAGCAACATCGACACCAATCGCTGGTCCTTCAACTGCACCGGCTCCAATCGATGATGACATTCCACCGACTCCTGCGCAGCAATTGAACCCAACACCACGAGAAGTACATCGAAGCGCAAACTTCACCGCAAGCTTTTACTCCAACTCCGACTTGTACCATCACTCACCCGGGCATTGAGCTGGCGAAGACATATGGCACACACGAGTGGCACATCCAAGCAACACAGTGTTAAATAACACAATTAGAGCAGGAGTGCTCGACAAGGACTCATTGCTCCTAACTGACAAAATTAGAAGAAGAAAGAGGAATGAACTAGTAGAAATGGGGATACAAATAGCAAACCCTAGAAGGGTTGTACTCGCTATAGAGCACCCCACTACAGGCTAGAACATAAGAATAATATTCTGACACACCCCCATAGCCAAAGTGGGGTGTAATCAGCAGAGCAGGCAAAGCAATACAAGCTCAGGGTGGATCACAATGTCACCACACATTCTGAGCACAAGTTCAAGAAGAAATAGTTTAGAGTTCACAATTATAAGCAAAGCTAGTGGTAGTCACAACGGGCAAGTGAGGAGGAGGAGGGAGAGCGAGGGGAGAGGAGACAGGAGGCGACGACTGAAGCTGCAGACACACGGGCAACAGGAGGCAGACTGGCACAGCGGCTACCGGACAGCGCCCGGACTACAGGAGTAACAGGCCCCGCGGCTCAAATAGCGGCGGACGGGCAACGGACCCACGGGCGGCTGGCACAACTGGCTACGACTGGGCTACCGGGACAGCGCCCCGGACTACAGGTGCTGCGGACGACAAGCCGGCAGCCTCCGCTCAACCTCCCGCAAACAGTCCCACCCCCCTGATACACACCCACTGCTACACCGCTAGCTCTACTCCCACACACCCCCCTTAAACCCTAAACCCAGTCTCCCACACATCCACCCCCCTCAGCGACAGCTGCAGCAGTGGGAGACGAAGGAGGAGGAGGAGCAAAGGGAGGAAGGAAGACCGGCCACCCCCATACCCGCCACCCCACAGCTCGCCCCTCAGGTCGCCTCGACGGACGACGGGAAATGGCAGGGGGAGGGGGGGGGGGGGGGGGGGGGGCGGGGTGGTGAAAGGGACCCACCACGGGCCTGGTTGGAGGGCGGGGCCGCGACAAGGGGCGGGGCCGCGACGAGGGGCGGGGCCGCGAAGTAGGGCGGGGCCGCTTCGAGGGGCGGGGCCGCGACACAGGGCGGGGCCGCGACGTAGGGCAGGGCCGCGACGGTCGGGCGGGGCCGCGACGTAGGGCGGGGCCGTGACGGTCGGGGCGGGGCCGCGACGTAGGGCGGGGCCGCGACTGTAGGGCGGGGCCACGACGGTCGGGGCGGGGCCGCGACGTAGGGCAGGGCCGCTTCGAGGGGCGGGGCCGCGACGCAGGGCGGGGCCGCGACGGTAGGGCAGACGCCCGCCGCGCGCCTCGGGGCGCACAGCGGGCAAAGAACCGCCGCGCGCCCCGGGGCGCACGGCGGGCAGAAAACCGCCGCGCGCCTCGGGGCGCACGGCGGGAAGGAAAACCGCCGCGCGCCTCGGGGCGCACGGCGGGAAGGAAAGGTAGCAGCGGAAGCGAGGTGGAAACCCACCCACAGGATCGATCCAAGGGGATCGACCTGCTCTGATAGCATGACAAAATTTGAAGAAGAAAGAGGAATGAACTAGAAGAAATGGGGATACAAATAGCAAACCCTAGAAGGGTTGTACTCGCTATAGAGCACCCCACTACAGGCTAGAACATAAGAATAATATTCTGACACTAACCAACGAAAGCAAACTTCGACGAGCTCGCGGAACGTGCTTTACCTGCCCCGAAGCGGACTTACCACATTAGCCGTTCGCTTCTTACCACAACCCCAGCGCACCAGCTTACGCACCACTTGAGAAAGTGTACAGCGACATCCTGTACAACCACGAACCTGGACAAGGAGCATAAAGCTACACTATCACGTTCATCGATGCCGCCACGCGTTACGTTTGGCACCTTAACCTTCCGAGCAAGGACATGGCTTTCGAGGCCTTCGCCGCTTGGCTCCCAATAGCAGAATGAGAATCGGGCGTGAAGCTAAAAAGCTTCCAGTCAGACGGAGGAGGAGAATACATCTGACAGAGGTTCAAGCAGTACCTGGTAGAAAGAGGGATCAAGAGGCTCATCTTGTGAGAATAAGCGAACAGGAATGAATGAAACTAGCAGTGAAATGAGTACAAGTAGGAAACCCTAGAATTGTGTACCCCCTATAGGCTAACCCACTGTAGCCTACACAAGCATAACATATATAATGTTTGACACACCCCCATAGGCAAAGTGGGGGAGAACAAGGGGTCACAAGACCAGTCAAGCAAAGCAAAGCAAGCTCAGGGTGGATCACAAAGTCACCACACAGTCCGAGCACAAGAGCAGGGCCAGAGGCCAGTTCACATGCAGGAGTACAGACATATATATAAAACTAGACAAGCAAGAGCAGGTATATATATGTCACAGTACAAGTGAAGTCAAGAGGAGAGCAAGTGAGGCAAGACAGGCACAAGACCCAGCTGGGTGCAAAAGCGCTGATGGTCACAAGGCGCGAGTGCCTTGGTGAACACATCAGCAGTGTTGGCCTCAGAGGCCACGTACGCAAGTCGCAACTGACCACGCTGCTGCAGCTCACGAGCAAGAAAGTAGCGGAGAGCAATGTGCTTCGTTCTGTGCTCCAAGCGCTGCTCTCGACACAAGGCCAGCATGGCCTTGTTGTCTACGTACAGCACTGGAGGAGAACGAGGCGGCTCTCCAAGGTCAGTCAGCAGGTAGGTGAGCCAGCGAAGCTCCTGTGCAGCCATGGCCCCGGCGTAGATCTCAGCCTCACAACTGGAGCCGAGAACCGAAGACGAGCGAGTAGACCGCCACGAGACAGAGCCGGAACCAAGGCTGAAGGTGTAACCCTGTGACGACCGCTGCGTAGTCTGGTCGTCAGCCCAAGAAGCGTCCGCGTGGCCGGTAAGGACCACTGGACTCCGCCCTCCAAGCACAAGCCCCATGCCCGACGTACTGCACAGGTAGCGCAATACCCTCTTCGCTGCAGCCATGTGCTCTGGTCTGTGTCTCCCAGGAGCAACATAGCGTGCAAGAATGCTCAGAGGATATGCAAGGTCAGGTCGTGTGCAGGTCATCAGGTACATGAGGCAGCCAACAAGCTCTGCATACGGACCACTCGACTCTACGGACTCATCCGAAGGCAGAGCTGAGAGTGAGTGGCGAGTAGGCAGAGGAGTGGCCTGAGGCGAGGAGTACGTGAAGCCGAAGTGCTGAAGGACCTGCTGCACCATGTGTGACTGAGTCAAGGTAATGGTGCGGCGTGCTCTGTCCTGAGTGATCTGCAAGCCAAGGTAGCTGCGCAGTTCACCCAGGTCTGTGCACGTGTGTCTCTTCAGCAGCTCGGACTTCACGTAGGCGAGTCCAGCAGTGTCCGCTGTGGCAAAGACCAAGTCGTCGACGTACACGAGGATGTAGAACGGCGGCAGTGAAGTGTCGGTGCGCAGAAACAGCGACGGGTCAGCAGTAGAAGGAGCAAACCCAAGAGCCGCAAGCGTAGTCCTCAGTGTGTCGTGCCACTCACGCGGTGCCTGGCGGAGACCGTAGACTGGCCGTCGGAGGCTCCACTGGGTGCCAGGAGGGAAAGTCCCAGTGAAGCCAGGTGGACGGCGCAGCCAGATCTCCTCGTGCAGGCTACCCTGCAGGAACGCAGTGCTGAAGTCGAGAGAGTGAAGCTCGTAGTCGCGCTGAGCGGCTATGTGCAGCAGCACCCGAAGAGTGGTCATCTTCGGGGTGGGAGAGAAGGTCTGAAAGTAGTCAACTCCCTGCCGCTGACTGAAGCCACGAGCAACGTACCGCGCCTTGAAGACAGGTGGAGAGCCCGGCAGCCGCTTCACCCGGAAGATCCACATGCCACTGACGATGTTCGCCCCAGGAGGGGGAACTGCGTCAACGTAGGTGCCTGTGGACTTCCAGGAAGCCATCTCTGCATCCATAGCTGCCTGCCACTGAGAGGAGTAGGGACCCTCTACGGCCTCCGCGTAAGAACGCGGAGTCGGGATGTCTAGTGCATCCGGGTCTCCCTCAGGGGCAAGCAGTACAGACGCGAGATGAGGTGAAGCAGCCGCTAGACACTGTAACTCCTCCTGTCTGTCCTCTAGGACGTCCGTGCCAAGAGCACACTCACCCCCGACGGACGAAGGACAGACAGACGCAGACTCAGCAACAAGACCAGCAGCGTAGTCGAGACGACAGCGAGCAGCAAAGTCAACGAGCTCAGCGACTAGAGCAGACGCAGCAGTGGACTCAAAAGAGGGGTCAGTGACGACAGTAGCAAGCAGACGCGTGACAGTAGGACTGGCAGCGCGAAGAGAGTCCGACTCAGGGTCGGCAAGCGCAGGAAGAGAGGACTCAGGAGGCGAAGGCAAAGGGGCACGCAGAGGAGCAGTGGACGGACGCAGAGACATCCGGTGCGTGCCAGGGACAGGAGGAGGACGCTGACGCGAACCGCGACCACTAGCGCGAGCAGCACGAACAGGCGACGCGGGACGAGACGCAGGCTCACGACGCTTAGCAAGACCTCCAGTAGGACCAGTGTAAGGAGAGGGAGCAGGCAGAGGAGAGGAAGGCTCCAACAGTGACTGCGACTGGACAGGCTGTGGACACTCTACCGAAGGAGAAAGACCAAGAACCTGCTGTAGGAGCGGAACGAAGTACGGCCGAGGCCGCGCGGCAGCTCCAGACTCAGCAGGGACAGCACCAGCACCCTCAGCGACAGCACCAGCGCCACCCACACCTCCAGCGGCAGGACCAACAGCAGTAGGCTCAGCACCAACGCCCTGAGTACCTCCAGCTCCAGGAGGACCCGCAGGTCCAGCAGCTCCGGGACCGGCAGCACCCGCACCCTCGACGGTCGAAGAAGCTCCAGCACCAGCTCCAGCAGCACCTCCAGACTCAGCAGCACGCCTCCAGCGGCGAGCGTACCACTCGCGCAGCTCCTGTGGAGAGAGGGGCTCCCGGCGAGACGCAGCAGCAGGAGAAACCCCAGGCTCAGCAGCTCCAGACGCAGCAGGGACAGCACCAGCGCCCTCAGAGACAGCACCAGCGCCACCCACACCTCCAGCGGCAGGACCAACAGCAGCAGGCTCAGCACCAACGCCCTCAGCAGCTCCAGCTCCAGGAGGACCCGCAGGTCCAGTAGCTCCGGGACCGGCAGCACCCGCACCCTCGACGGTCGAAGAAGCTCCAGCTCCAGCTCCAGCAGCACCTCCAGACTCAGCAGCACGCCTCCAGCGGCGAGCGAACCACTCGCGCAGCTCCTGTGGAGAGAGGGGCTCCCGGCGAGACGCAGCAGCAGGAGAAACCCCAGGCTCAGCAGCTCCAGACGCAGCACCCCCAGGCTCCCCACTCTCCGCAGTAGCACCCGCAGGCCCAGTACCCCCAGCAGTAGCACCCCCAGGCTCAGCACCCCCGCGCACAGCACCCCCAGAGTCAGCACCCCCAGGCTCAGCACCCCCGCGCACAGCACCCCCAGAGTCAGCACCCCCAGGCTCAGCACCCCCGCGCACAGCACCCCTAGAGTCAGCACCCCCAGGCTCAGCACCCCCGCGCACAGCACCCCTAGAGTCAGCACCCCAAGGCTCAGCACCCGCAGCAGCACCAGAGTCACCTGTAACCTCGACCGGGTCAACGGCGTCTACCTGGGACACACCTGAGGGGGCAGGAACCTGAGGGGGAAGGGGGTCTACCGGGGGGGGAACCGGTACAAGGAAGTCCGGGGGAGGGGGGAGGGAAGGAGTGCGGTAGGGGAAGAGACGGTAGAAGGGGACTGACTCGTCGAACGTGACGTCCTGGGAGGACAGAACACGACGAGAGGAGGGGTGGTAAAACTGCCACCCTGGGGCGTCAGTGGGGAAGCCAAGGAAGACACAGGGAGCAGCACGAGGGGACAGCTTGTCCGCAGACAAGTCGCGGACAAACGCCCGAGATCCCCAGACACGGAACACAGACGCATCGCCAACCTTCCCTGTCCACAGCAAGGCTGGGGACATCGCAGGCCGAGAGACCCGGGGGTGAAGGTTGAGCTGATGCGCCGCGTACCTCACCGCAAACGGCCACAGAAAATGGGGGGCAGCCGCATGCATCATGGACGTACGAGCGACATCCATGACCATGCCAATGCGGCGCTCAGCAATCCCATTTTGCTGTGGTGAGTCCGGAAGCGTGAAGGACTGGCGGATGCCTCGCGCACGACAGTAGGCACGCAGAAGGCCAGAGGAGAACTCTCCGCCTCTGTCCGAGTGCAGACGCAGAACAGGAAAGTCCGAGCCGAAGCTCTTCCTGAGCTGGAGACGAGCCTCGCGGATCCAGTCGATCAGCACCTCAGTGACCTCACCCTTGCTGCGCAAGGGGAGGACTGTGGTGTAACGCGAGTAGTCGTCAACCACCAACAGGAAGTAGCGCTCGTAATCCTGCCCACGGACGGGGGCCCAGCCCCACACATCCATGTGAAGCGTCTGCAGGGGAGCCTCTGTCGGGGGGAAGTGGGAGGAGTGAGGAGTAGCCCGGAGGCGACCCTCGACACAGGGGACACAGGGAGGTCCTGGCCCGGAGGGGAGAGGAGGGAGAGACTGGGGAAGACCAGAGACAAGGACACGGGAAGCCATGCTCCGAAGACGGGGCAAGGAGGGGTGGCCAAGACGGTGGTGCCACAGGAGAGTCTCGTGAGACAGGAGGCGACAAGTACAGGGGGCAGACTCAGGACCAGACCTGGACGCAGCAGCAAACACCTGACCCGACGCTGCTACCTGACCGGACGCGGGGACAGGAGGAGACTCAGTGGTCAGGGTGTAGAGGCTCGACCCCGGCCGACGCGAGAACGTGGCCAGGTGCCGGCCTGTGCGTGCGTCCGTGCAGTGGGTCACCCGCTGACTCGCAGGAGTGAACTGGTGAACCCCCGCATCCTGTAGGTCTGCACCACTCACCAAGTTCGTCGAGAACGAGGACAGGACCCCCAGAGGGGTCAGCCAGGGAGACTGCAACCGGCCGACCAAGCGGCGTGAGTGTGGTGCGGTCCCGAAAGAAGGAGCGAGAAGCCCCAGAGTCAAGTGTAAAGGTGAGGGAGGCCGAAGCCAACGCGGTACCTGAGAGCGCAGCCTCACCCGCACCTGAGGAAGCAGACTCACTAGCACCTAGAGCAGCAGCCGCACCTGTACCTGGAGCAGGAGACTCACTAGCACCCAGAGCAGCAGCCTCACCAGTAGCTAGAGCAGCAGGTCCTATACCTGGGTCAGGCGGGACGCACAGGTGACCTGCACGGTCAGCACTAGTAGGCAATGCATACATGGCAGTGAGAATAGCATCATAGTCAAGAGCATATTTATCTACCCTCTGCCTAAGCAACTCCACCCAGTCGGGAAGCTCAGCTTCGTCGCCAAACACGGTACGCCAGGCGTCGCTCAGACGGGCGAAGCAGCGGGACGGTGTATGACTACGTGTCCCACAAGGCTGACCAGTCCGAGTACCAGTGCGAATCACGTAAGAGCAGCGAACAGCACTAAGAGACCCTCCACTCTGAGCGTACCACTCACGAAGCTGGCGAGGCGTGAGAGACACGCGAGAGGGTCGCGGGAGCTGCATCTGGCCGTCACCACGAGTAGAAGCAGCAGGAGTGGTAGTAGGAGTAGTGTCGCCACCCCTACAGCCCCAACCAGCGTACCACTCACGCAGCTGCTGCGGCGTGAGGGACTCACGCCGGCGTCGCTGGGGCTGCATTTGGCTCCGCAAGTAGAAGCAGGAGCAGGACTAGCAGCAGGGAGGCAGGCAGCCAGGCAAGCCAAAAGGCAGGCAGGCAGGCAAGCAGGCGACGCGCAGCGTGCTAGCAGGGCAAGAGCTCACCAGTGGTGGGAAGAGTAGGTTCGGCGACTCAGCGGCTCGGCAGCTCGGCGGCTCGGCGGCTCGGGCGACTCGGGCGGCTCGGCGGCAAGGTGGCTCAGCAGCAACTGCAGCTCAGTAGCTCGGTGACTCGGCGGCTCGGCGGCAGGGCGGCTCGGCAGCAACTGCAGCTCAGCAGTTCAGCGACCCGGCGGCTCGGCGGCAGGGCGGCTCGGCTGTGGGGCGGCTCGGCTGCTGCAGTGGGAGAGGAAGGAGGAGGAGAAGCAGGGGAGGCCACACACCTGCCACCCCTCTGCAAGCGGCCCCCTCAGGTCGCCTCGACAGGCGACGGGAAAAGGGGGGGTGGGTGGTGGGGGGCCGGTAGGTGCAGCGGCGGGGCCAGCAGGTGCAGTTGCGGGGCCGGTAGAAGGGGACGGCAGGAGCCGTCAGGAGGGGACGGCGGGGCCGTCAGGAAGGGACGGCGGGGCCGTCATGAAGGGACGGCGGGGCCGTCAAGAGGTGACCGGGCCGCGACGGGGGCAGGCGGCGGGGCCGCGTAAGGGCCTGGGCGGGGCCGCGACAGAGCCGTCGGCGGGGCCGCGTGAAAGCCGGGGCGGGGCCGCGTAGAAGCCGGGGCGGGGCCGCGCAAGAGCAGGCGGCGGGGCCGCGAAGGAGCCGGGGCGGGGCCGCGTGAGAGCAGGCGGCGGAGCCGCGTAAGGGCCTGTGCGGGGCCGCGACAAAGCCGTCGGCGGGGCCGCGTGAAAGCCGGGGCGGGGCCGCGTAGAAGCCGGGGCGGGGCCGCGCGAGAGCAGGCGGCGGGGCCGCGAAGGAGCCGGGGCGGGGCCGCGTGAGAGCAGGCGGCGGGGCCGCGACAGAGAGGGCGGCGGGGCCGCGTCAGTGAAGGCGGCGGGGCCGCAGGGGAAATGGCGACCCGAGGGGTCGCTAAAAAAAAGATCGCGCCTCGGGGGGCGCTTCGGTGGGCCCAAAAACGGTCCGTAGAAGGACCCGCTCTATACCATGTGAGAATAAGCGAACAGGAATGAATGAAACTAGCAGTGAAATGAGTACAAGTAGGAAACCCTAGAATTGTGTACCCCCTATAGGCTAACCCACTGTAGCCTACACAAGCATAACATATATAATGTTTGACACATCTCTCTTCCCTACGCTCACCAGCAACAAGGCGTAGAAGAAAGGATGAACATAACTCTTCAGAACACCATGCGCAAGTTGCTACGAGGCATGCGACTGCCCAACCACCAGTGGCCCGAAGCAATGGACCACGCTGTCATGCTGCAGAACTTGCTCTCGTCATCATCGCTCCCGAACAACGCATCACCGCACCTGCTGTGGACAGGAAAATAGGCAGCACAAAAATGTTAAGAGTTTTCGGCTGCATGGTACAGTACCGACCCCCATCTGCACGAGCCGGCCGATTTTCCCAACGCGCACAGTGGGGACTACACCTGGGCATCGAAAGAAATTACAACGCGTGGAAGATTTTCGACGTCCACTCCAAGGAAACAGTAGCAGCACGTTATGTCATTTTCTACGAACGACTCACCCTTCCGACGTACCTTGCTAACCTGGAAGAAGATCGGGACCCCACAGGTGGCTTCCGTGGTGACCGAGCTTTCGCCTCGGCAGCAGACGAAGCTGACTGGGACGAGCAGAACGTGGATGAAGCCTCGGAGGAAGCCGGACCTCTCCCTTACTACTCCGTCGACGTCGACACCCCGACCGTCGGCTTAACCTACCACAAGAACGGAACTACAACGCCTAAACTAATCGGCTACGTCGACGCTGATCACGCCGGCAACTCCGACAACAGACGCTCGCGCACCGGCTACATCTATCGCCTCGAACCTATCGGACCCATCTCGTGGCAGTCAAGCAAGTAGGAGTTAATCGCCCTCTCTTCAGCTGAAGCCGAATATATCGCACTCTGCTCAGCCACCAAGGAAGGACTATACCTTCGCGAATTTCTGGAGGAGGCGAAGCTGGCTCAGCTAACCAGCTTCTCCATGTTTTGCGATAACCAGTCCGCAATTCGCATATCCAACAAAAATGGATTTGCGAACAGGACGAAGCATATCGCCCTGCGATATTTCTTCGTAAAGGACGAGATCGAGAAGGGGAGACTCGAGCTGTCTTATTGTCCCACGTCCGAGATGGCAGCTGATTACTTGACCAAGCAGCTCGGGAAGCAGAAGTTCGAGTACTGCATGCTGCTGACTGGACAAAGCCACGTCACCAGCAACGACACTCCAGAAACGAAGGGGAGTGTTGGAAACAATTGATTTAGCGCCTCTGTCGTGTCGAAACACCAAGACAGAAGCGAAGCGAAACATATCGAAGCATTGGCGAGTCAACCCTCGGAGGTTGAACAACTGTTCGAGGTTACGCGAAAGTCAAAGGTCAGCGACCTTTGACCTGACAAGTACAGCGCGACAGCAAGGACAAACAACTGACTCGCTATGGAGCAGTTGCCCGAGTCGACACTGTATCAAACCGCAACAGCAACAGTAAAACAGTTATTTGTTATAACCCTTCATATTCCCTTGTACTCTTATAAAAGCTTGTATCTGTTTGTTTTAATCAATCGACTTTGCCCTCACATAGCTGCGCAAGGTGGTTCACAAACCTTTCATTAAACGCTGGGAAGGCAACGGGACGGCGACGGGACGAACGACGGAACGGACTGCGCGAGCATGATCGGAACGGGAGGGCGAGCGAGAATCGATGGAAAGGCGGCGAGAGTGCGTTCGAAACGGCACAAAGTACTACACAACCATGCCAGCTTCACTGTGCGTCAAAATTGAAACCACAACGGCCTAAGTTGATGGTTCTATGGCTAGGCAGGCTATTTATAACTAAAAAACAGAGATGTATGATTGGAAGAACTAGTACCGTCACCCCCCGGATATACCCCCATGGGGGGCAATAATAAAACAGGTTTTTTCAAGGGGGTGGGCTTATAATCGAGTAAATTTATAAGCGCCGGCGTTTATAAAATGACATTCATATTTTTTATATTTTTTAACACCAAACTGTAGGTCTCGTGCTTGCCCTTTCAATCGAGTCGAATTTACATGGGGTCGTCTGTGAAATTCTCGCGCGCGCTGGGAGACACACCCAATCTGACTCACATCCAGCTCCTGACAGCTCCTGCTGACTGGACCCGCATCCAGTGCAGGGTCCGAATGTGAAGGGAACCGAATCTGCAACATATCTGCCTGCTAAAGTAAAAATCATTACAACGTTTTGTACACATTTCAAATTTTAAAGTTTACGTGCGCTTATAATAAAACTAGTTTTTTCAGGGGGTGCGCTTATAATCGAGGAGGGGATATAAGCGCCATATGCCAATTAGAAGCGCCAGGCGCTTATCCTAGGGTGGCGCTTATATCCGGGGGGTGACGGTAGTTCACTCAGGCCCAACTTGAACCCCAAGCTGTGCCCAAAATCGCAAGGACGTGCGTGGGCGATCGCGGTGCTAGAGGTGTGCGCCTTCCCAAACAGATGTGCGACGCCTGACGTGCTGTGTTTCCATTTTTTTTTTGGGTTTGGCGAGAACCAATCAGATCTGTTATATCTGCAAAAATGCTCCCAAAAGAACAGTGCAAACGAGAGAAAATTGTTTCGCTCGCCAGGCCCCCTTTCAAGCTGGCCCCGGGTTCACTATTTTGCATTTGGGTTTTAAACGCTTCCGCTATTTCATTGTCCTACTCAGAATTTAGTCCTGCAAAGATCCTAAGGGCTCTTCTCAGTCCAACATTTACGGTATAACGAATCGTTCTTAGGACCAACCTTGACATTAGGTTAGCCTGATAAGGGGGTCATAGGAACGTGCCCTAATTCACAGGAACACTTGCACCATCCGAACATCAAGGTTAGGCAACCAAAAGTGGGCAAAGTGAGTCAACCAACTATTTCACTTTCTTAACCTTCCCACACAGTGCGAACCCATTCCTGTCGTGCCCAACTCGGAAAAATTCACCTGCCTCAGTAAACTGCTGCATGAATGCACTGGCTTCAGCCTTAGTCTTTAGCGGCACTTGCAATTTCAGCTTGAAGCTGTAGAGCTTGTTGTGACCAGCCTTGGCACTGGTGACATTAACCCACGGAAGAGGGCTGTTACCTCCAACTGGGCTGTCAGTGCAGGAAGGCACGCCACTTGAGCCTGGCGTCTGTCCTCCAGAGTCAATCTTGAATATGTTGCAAGCGTAAATGCCAGCGTATGAACTTGCCGAGTACCTGCAAATGGGCAAAGAGGGAGATGAGATGGTTGCGAAGGGGACCAGGGAGAGGAGGGGCGTGGGGTTGGGGTTGTGATTGCCACTGGCGTGGAAATGATGAGACAGATGGAGGATGAGGGGGAGGAGAGAGGGGAGGGGGGAAGTGTTGGCAAACTGGGAAGACGGGTAGGAATGGGTGCTGGAGCCACCCACTCGAGAATGCAAACAAACAAACCATTGTCTTGGAACAACAGTGGATACTATAAGATCGCACAGGAGACGCACATCACCGTCTTGAAAACCATTTTCCCGGATGCCCACTTGTCGCCAATCACTTTTCCATTCTTCCTAGTAGGACGCAACTTGGCAGCGCGCTTTTCTGCCAATGCGAATGGCAGGGATAGGAGGAAAGCGCACGGGACGGAAGGTGGAAGGACAACGCGTAGCAAAGAGGTACAGCAGCACTGAATGAATCGGCCTGATGGCCTGACTACTAGTAGCACCACTAAGACAACCTTGGCGCCGGAATGAAACTGATGGCACCAGTGGTGGTCAATCGATCCTCCCCAGGATTCTTCGCACAGGGACAGGGCGACGGCATCCACGCACATGTCACGCAGAGAAAGCCGCCAGGAATGAAAATCATTTGCGTAAATTTGGATCACCGCAGTTTAGCACCCGCATCATGCTGCTGCTGCTACGACGGAACACCGCGATGCAGCGGAAGGCCAGCGGCAAATAGCGTTGCTGACTTACCGAGAACCTTCCCTTTCTGCTTCAAGGGCTTGGCGAGTTGGGCGGCAGACACGGCTGAAGCACTGCCGTGGCGTGCTAGAAATGGCGGAAAGATCGAGGCAGACGCGGCGGCGGCAGTGAGGAATGCCGCACCTGACGGGCAAGGCGGCGCACACGGCGACATTGGAAAAATGAGGGAGCGTCATGTCATGACATGTTAAAAATGAGGGGGCGAGAGGCGAGACCACTGACATGAACTGCCAGAAATGACAAAGCCGCGCCAGAAACGGCAAAGGTGGCTTCTGCGGCTAAGGAGGCAGCAAAACGCTCTGATGGGCAGCGGCGGGGCCGCATTGATTGATATGGCGTCGAGGTTACTGTGAGGGCGTCAGATCTTTTGGGACGGAGCAGGAGCTTTGAAAGGTATCACTAAGTGCGTACAGAGGAGGAGGACGAAGACAAGTGGTGGCGTGCGCTCCATGGTAGTAGCAGCAGAGGAAGGGGAGAATGCTTGCACACTGAAAATGAAAACCTTGCGCTAGTAGAGATGACTGTATGCTGGCGAATATACTCCTACCTTATGATACACGTGTCTTCGTCCAACAGAGCATCCGCCTGAGAGCGATGCATGTTGAGCCGATCCCAGTTTCAGACTGGGTGGAAGTATGGCACTCGACTAGATAGTTTGCGCTGCATGGCGAGAGGTGCCAGGCAGTGGGGCAGTCGGAGGTGGATGGTAGATGAGATGGGGGTCTGGATCAGAAGAAAAAAAGTCGTCACAACATGTGGACGAGGAACGGAGCGCGAAGGAGCCGTAAAGCGCCACTCGATCGGCGAACCAGAAGGCATTTGTTGGACTCCACAGGCAGCAGCCGCTCTCTTTCAGCCATTAACTCCCCTACCTGAGACCAGACCGTGCTGGTGCTCGCCGCTAGATGGACTTAACTGAAAAATTTTAGGAATTGCTGTGGTGCTTCACCAATCGCGTCGAGCAATTGATTAGGGCGTGCTGTACTAGCTCGTTTACACCTGTTCGGACTGGTGGGTGACGGTTCAAAGCGGTGTAGCAGACGTACCGCTCTAGAATGTACAAAACCTTTCTCCACCGCAGATACTGAACCAGAAGTGAACTAGATCCCCACAATCGAGTGGGCAGATCGTTTGGCGAAACGTGGCGACCGCGACGTTGTAACGATCGCGGCTGAAAATCGACAGATTTCCTGCGAACAGTGATCAGCCGCATACTCAGACTGTACAGAATTTTTGGCCAGAAAGCGCTCTGTAGCATGATTACAGTATAGTTAAACGGGTAACCGATCCGCACATCGATCGCGACTGATGATCGATCGTCTACTTTTACCGCGTCCTTACCCAGTGTTCATCCCTCGCAAGGGCAGAAACAGACTTGCCGTAAGCTGGTTTTTTTAGGCCCGACGGCCTAAGTCCGCTAAAGAATTAGCGGGGTCGACTAAGTCGAGGATGAAACGCGGCGGAAGACTTTGGCGAAAGAACTATTCGCGAAATAGGCGAAGAAGTTACTGAGTAATTGAAGAAGAGTTGAATGAGAATTGATTGATAATGGCAAGTACAAGCAAGGTTTATATAGCATGCAAGAAACAAGGTTGGAAAGTGGAATGTGGGACCAAGAATTGGAGTGCAAGAAAAGTAGAGTGCCACGTGGCACTAGAGAATCTGAGAAGATAAGGATAATGGTGACTAGGAATGTACTGTTTGGAATGAACAGTAAACACCCCTCTAACAGGTTTGAAGTCAAGATTACTGTATACTTCAGTCTCAAGATCGTGTTCCTCGCCTGTGTGGGTTCGATGCGTGGTGTGTTGTACAGTTACTTCACTGTTCCGGCGACCCATTTCCCCCTTAGTACAATCACCACCAGTCTCGTTCAATTACGATGCGGGTGTACACACTACCATAATGTAATTACATCCTTCACAAAATACCAATCTCGTACCGTGATTGTACATGTTGTAGTGTACAATCAAGATACGTCCAAGCAGTTGGGACGGCGTGTCACCACCTGTGCAGATAGGTAACCTCTAGGGTTGTCGAGGCGCCACATCTAGCTGCTGAGCTTTCACGAGCAGAGATGGCTGAGTGCGGCGGTTTGCCGTGATACATGCGGACTAGGTCAGCAGCAGCACTAGAAGCACATATTGACGAGGATTCATCAGATTTAGTTGTATTGTTTTCTCACTGCTGGTTGCTGTTAACGTCATGTCCGCCAACAGGGATGTGCTCGCTAAACATGTCGAGAGGCATCAACCTCTTCCCCAAGCCGCCACGTCCTCGCTTTCCCGGTCTCAACATGCTCGAAGCAACAAAGATCAGCATCAATCGCGTGCCACTCCCTCTTCTTCCGTTTCCGCTTCCGCCTCTGACCCTTCCGCCGCGTCGCCCACGCTCGGCGCGCTTCACAGGCTCCTCCCATCCGGAGCCGTTCCCGCCGGATCCTCCGACGACCGCGATTTATCGTCCATACCGCCGCTTACCACCACCGCAAGTCCCGTAGACCTGCGGGACCGCACTGGTGCCTGCAGCACCAGCGGCGGGGATGGCGGCGGAAGGGGCGGCGTTTCAAGAGCCGGATCTTTCGGTCTTAGTGGTAGTGGTGCCTTCCGTGCGGCTGGCGCAGGCGCTGGCGGTGGCGCCGCGGATGCGTACACGTGGCAGACGGTGGATAGCGGCGTCGCGGGGAGCTTAGAGTATCGCATGCGCTTTAAAGACCGCCTCGGGCGCACGTGCTCCCCCTGGCACCACATACCTCTCAATACCCGCAACGGTCACGTGCACGTGGTTTGCACGACGCCTAAGAAATCCTGGGCGCGCTTCGAAGTCGCCGCGGATGAAGAGTTTTCCCCGTTGAGGCTAGCGCGCAAAGCGCTCGGGGAAGGAACGGGCGTCGGGGGAGCGGAAGGCGCGTGGGGGGCAGGTAGCGGGGCAGGGATCGGCGGAGGTATCGGCGGAGGTATCGGCGGAGCGATCGACGGGTGCGCGGGGGGAGTTTCTTCCGCCGTGGTTCCGCTGCACTACGCGTCGAACTGCCCGTGGAACGTGGTGATGCTGCCGCAGACGTGGGCGGATCCGCAGCTGCCGAATTTGGACTATCTAGGGTTGCGCTACGACGGGCGGCCGATGGAAATGGTGGAGCTAGGCCGCAAGGCGCGGAAGAGAGGACAGGTGCGCGCGCTCCCCCCGTCTCCTCCGCCGCAGCTTTACTGTTGGCTTCTTTTCAACCATCCTCTCTCCTTGCATCGCGTGTAGATTTTCTCTCTCTCCTTCATCCCTTCCTCTCGCACGTCGTGCCTCACGACCTTTCTCTCTTGACCACGTCGTCCCACTTGCCCTCCCACCCTCCCGTTCCTTTGAAGTTGCTCTCGCCCAACTTTCCTCCCACGCCGACGACACCCCGCCTCTCGCGCACCCCTTTTGATTCACAAGCTAGTTCTCCCTTCCCGCCCGGCAGGTATACGCGGTGAAGGTGGTATCTGCGTTCGCGCTCGTGGACCTGCCGACCATGCGCCTTTCCTGGAAGCTGCTGGGCATGGCTGTCAGCGACAGGCGCGCGCGGCGAGTGAGCGACGCGGGGGACGTGCACCGCGTGATGCCCGGGACGCTGGAAGAGGTGCGCGAGTGGCTGCGGCAGAGCGAGCGCGTGCGCGCGCACGACCGCGAGTGGGTGTTCGGGCTGAACGAGCGCGCGGGGGACGCGTTCCTCGCGGGAAAGCTCGTGGCGGAGGCGCACGCCGCCTGGCAGCGCCTCGTGGCGCGCGTTCCGCCGCGCACCCCCGCGTTTTTGAAGGGGGAGGAGAGGGGAAGGGGAGCGGAGGGCAGGAGGGAAGGGAAGGGGGAAGGGCAGGAGGTGGGGAGCGGGCAAGTGAAGGGGAACGGGGACGGGGATGGGCAGGAGCAGGAGAGAGGCGATGGTGCTGCTACTGGTTCTGACACCAGCCATGGCTCAAACACGCTCGGCCTTTCCATTCCCCTTCACACCCCCCCTCTCACTCCCACTCACCCGCATCCCCCTCCCTCTACCCCCCCTCACTCGTCCATCTCTGGTACCTCCACCCCCTCGCACATAGCCACTCCTCCCCGCGCTCCCTCCTCCTCCGCCACACCCCCGCGCCTGTATCACAGTGACTCTGACGCGTCGTCTCTGTCAGCTGGCACAGGACATGAGTCAGCTTTCACATCAGCTGGTGCTGGTGGTGGTAGTGCTGGTGGTGGTGGTGGTGGTGCTGCTGCTGCTGGTGCTGCTGCTGGTGCTGGTAGCAGTGGTAGCAGCAGCAGCAGCAGTGGGATGGAGGAGCGTGCATTGCCAGTCAATGTGATTCCACTGCGTGATCCCAGGGCGAAGCTGCTGGTGCGGGCCATGAGACGACCTGACGCCACAGAGAGTGTGCTTGCTTTCAATGGGTCGGATGACGAAGGGGAGGAGGAGGAGGATGGGGAGGAGGGTGAGGAGGGTGAGGAAGGTGAGGAAGAAGGGGAGGGTGAGAGGGGGGAGGAGAGCAAGGGCGAGGAAGGGGAGGGTGATGGTGGTGTTGATGCCGCTGGTACCTCTAGTGGCGGTAGGGACAGGGGGAGTGGAAAGGGAAAGAAGGGTAAGGGTGCAGTAACCGTTACGTGTTCGCGCAGGGAGCTGCTTCGGTTTCTGAGGTCAACAGATCCCCGCCTCTCTCGACCGGCGTATATCGCATTCAACAAGGGGTTTATTCATATGGATGAGCAGCAGCAAAAGGAAGAGCTAGGCGGGGATAATGACGAGGGGGGCGGGGATAATGACGAGGGTGGCGGGTTTCCTGGTTCTTCTGCTGCCGCTGCTGCTGCTGCTGCTGGTGGTAATGGTAATGGTGCTGGTGATGGTGCTGGTGCTGACAGAAGTGGGTCTAAGGGCGCAGGGAGGGTTTTCGAGGATGCCACTGCACGTTCGGATAGGGTGCATGAGGAGGGTGGGGGACGGGCGGGTGGGAATGGCGAGGGGAGTGAACATGGTGCTGTTGCTGCGCAGGCGAGTTCAGATTCAGATGGGGTGTTGGGAAGCGGAGGAGCTGGGGGGATTGGGGGAGGAGAAGGAGGGGGAGGGGGCGGGGATGGGGATGGGAGGATAGTGGGCAAGAGCAGCAGAAGGAGTGGCAGTGGCAGCAGCAGCAGTAGCAGCCACAGGAATGGGGGAAGTAGCTGGGGACGACAATTGGGGAAGGTGGAGGAGGAGCCGGAAGAGGAGGAAGCAGCAGAGGTGGAGCAAGGGAGTGGAGGAGAGGACGGGGAAAAGGGGGATGAGGGGGAGGAAGGGGAGGAAGAGCATGGAAGGAATGGAGATGGGAGGGAGAGGGGGAGGGAGGCAGGCAGGGTTGCAGAGGCCGGGGATAGGTTGGCGGAGAGGAGCAGAAGTGGTGGAGGAGGAGAAGGAGGGCAAGTGGGTGCTGGTCCGGTGTACCATGGAGCCACGCATGCAGGCACAGATAATAGTGCTGCTGCCGTCGCTGCTGCTGCTGCTGGAGAAGCAGCTGTTACTTGTACTGTTGCTACTGCTCCTGCTGAAAGTGGTGGTGCAAGCGATTCCGTGGCTGACAGAAATGACCGTATGGATGGCAGCGGTGCTGCTGTTGATGGGATAGGGGGTCACGCACATGAGGTACACGTGGGGCCCTTTCAAGCACAGGCAGCAATCACTGGCGGAGGAGGGGAGGGTGATGGGGAAAGAAGGCAACAGGATAGCACTGGTAGAACAGATAACTCCACCAGTCTTCTTGATCCCAACGCTCTTTCAACTCCACCTACCCTGTCAGCGGCGTCAACAGCAGCAGCAGCCACAGCTGACGCTCCTTGTGCTGTCCTCGCTTCTTCTCTTGCCCCGGCTGCTGCTCCCAGCCTGTCCCTCCCGTCCCCTGGGAGCAGCAATCGTGCGGGTCAGTTCAGCCGGGTGGGATCAAGGCGCAAGCCCAAGCGCAGCAGCATGATTCAGGAGAGAGGCAGCGAGAGCGGGGAGAGTGACGGCACGAGCAGCAGCAGCAGCCACAGCAGCAGCAGCAGGAAGAGTTTGGAGAACCAACCAGTGACTCTGTCCTCCGCTGCTGCTTCTCCTGCTTCCGCTGCTGCTCTTGCTGGTAAAACTGGTGCTGCAGAGTCTAACACCCGTGGGACTGCTGGTGTTGCTGCTAGTACTCCCGCTGCTGCAGCAGCAGGGCAGGGTCAGACGCTGCTTGTGCGGGGGCGGAGAGTGGCATGGGTGGCCCCTAAGGGTAGCAGCCTGAGCTCTGGACAGAGGAGCAAGGCGGGGCGAGAGTCATGAGTTATCAACGGGTGGAGGGATGGAGTTGCGATGGGGGTTGGCCTGGGTGGGGATGACGGTGTATGGGAGGACGAGGTGGGAAGAGAGGTATGGTAAATTAAGCAGGTACGGTAATATTTTTCGCACGGATTGATGCGTGTGTGTGTGAGTTTGCGTGTGTGTGCGTGTGTATGTGCTGTGCGCTCGCGTCCAAGTGAGGGTCTGTGACTCAGTGATCGTGTGAGAGCATGTGCAGGTGTGTTTGTATGTGTGTGTCTGTGTGGCACTATCTGGAACAGTATGGCCCAACATGGTCCATGGTACCATGTAGATTGGTGAGGTTGTCTTGTCCCTTACGGTTTCTTTGCATTGTTGCTTTGCCCTCACCATTCTGCCTACTGTCATGTCTCCATTTTCTGTGTTGGCACCTAGGTGCACCTTGTACCATAGTCTGATTTGGCTGCTCGTTTCTTAGGAGTGTAGGTTATGACCTATTTGTTGGGCTGAAAAGCCCTTAGGATCTTTGCAGAGGTGAATTCTGGGTAGAGTTGATGTAGTAGCGGAAGCGTTTTAATAAAGAGTTTGTGAACCACCTTGCGCTAGTATGTGAGGGCTAAGTGAATTAGTTTAAGCAAAGAGATACAAGATTATATGTGAATACAGAGAATATGAAGAGACACAGTTATAACTACTTTACTGTTGCTGTTGCGGTTCGATACAGTGACGACTCGGGCAACTGCTCTGTAAAGAGTCAGTTGTGTGTCCTTGCTGTCGCCCTGCATTTGTCAGGTCAAAGGTCGCTGACCTTTGACTTTCGCGTAACCTCCAGCGGTTACTTCAACCTCCGAGGGTTGACTTGCTGGTGCCTCGATATGCTCTGCTTTGCTTGTGCCTTAGTGTTTCGACACGACAGAGGCGCTTAAGAACGATTGTTTCCAACACCTTGTACCATAGTCTGATTTGGCTGCTCGTTGCTTAGGAGTGTAGGTTATGACCTATTTATTACACTAGAGATTTAACTGCTGCAAGCAAACAGCTCCGAATTGAGTTTGCTAAGTGGAGCCTGAGTTGATACTGGCACGCCACACAGCATGTCACATGAGAAATTGTCCTGATTGAGTTGATCACCTCCACACCACACACATCCACATCATGCTTGCAAAATACAGTAACACATGGTCACAGCATGCATATAACGTGGAGAGGTTACACAACACAACACACAGGCGGCAGAGATCCACACAACGTGCTTCCGCCGCTGGTTGGCTCTTGAGGCGAATTTCCAGCATTAGATTTGGTGTATCGATGTTGATGCTATGCAAACTTAAATATCATAGCGAAACCGATATTCATTTCTGTAGTTCTTTGTCATGTTCAGGTTGATCAGGGCTGTGCAGCGAGTGGCAGGAATGCTGGACCCATTTGGCGGAGGCTTCACGCAAACCCCGGATTTGCGCAACCCGAAGCCTAGCTGTTGGAGCAAGAGCCCTGAACTTGGGCGAACTCGCGCCCCACTCTCCGGAAAGTCGGCGCAAATCCGCCTTTGTGTCAGACTTTCGGGTGTTGCGCTTCCACAAACTTGCGACCGACAACCCCTTTCCGCTTGGCGAATTCTGCTTGGGGGCCAGTGTCACGAAAGTAGCCATCGTCGTCAGCTCGTTTGTAACAAACATTTCCCACGATTTTTCATCCGCGAGAGAGTTCAACTTTCGCCAACACTCTTCGCTCATCGAATTTCCACCGCCCTGGTCCCGCCGTTGCCGTGTGCCGGAAAGCAATTTTGGAAATCTCGAGGTTGGTTGGGAAGGCAGGCAGCACTCGGCATGGCACATTCCCCACCACACCACAACAAGCTCGCCTCGTTTCTTCCTCAACGTGCGGCTTCTCACGCCCACCTCACTCAACATTCGCCTTTCATTCTGCTCCTCACCTCTAGTTGCTCAACGCCAGATGCTCAACGCTAGTTCCCACGAAACGCTTACGCTGCTGTTATTCTTTCGTTGACGACCGATTTGTTTCTTCGGACGAAAAATCGCGGAGCTAGGAGAAGAGGTGTTGGCGGAGCATCAGCAGGCAGATTCTACGTCGCCTTGTGCTGTTTTAGACCGTCGATTTCGTCGCATCCTCTGTGGGATAGTAGTTGATCGGGCGTAGCGAGAAACGTTTTTGGGCGTGGAATGTTGGTGCGAGGGGAGGCGAAGACGAGTGCGACGACGAGGTACGATGGGGTCCGCGCCGTTGTGCTCTTGAACGTCGCTGCCTGCTCCTTCCCGCGCGCTTATCGTGCCTCCATTCGCACCCGCGCTTATGGTGCACCGATTTCAGCTAGCGCTTCTCACGCTCGTAGTTCTATTTCGCGTTTCTCCTTCCTGCAGGAGAGCGTTTGGCAGAATGGACGGCGGAATCGACGGCCGTTTGCAAGATCTGCGCGTCGTCGCACGGCGAAACCGTCGTCCCAGCGTCGTCGCACGGCGGAACCGTCGTCCGCGCGTCGTCGCACGGCGAAGTCGTCGTCCGCACGTCGTCGCACGGCGAAATCGTCGTCCGCGCGTCTTCGCGCGGCGAAATCGTCGTCCGCGCGTCGTCGCACAGCGAAACCGTCGTCCGCGCGTCTTCGTACGGCGAAATCGTCGTCCGCGCGTTGTCGCACGGCGAAATCGTTGTCCGCGCGTCGTAACACGTTGGCGCGGCAGCAGCATCATCTCTCGGTGCTTCTTTCACCACCAGCTAAGTTACTTGTTCAACCCTCACACTTTGTTGCTTTGCTTGTCATGTTTGCACCATGCATTACGCTCCCGTTTTCACTGCTCTTTTTCACACCCATTAGACCTCCCTCCCCCAAGGTAGTAGGTATCTTTTTTCTTGGTACAGCCTCAGGTATTTGTTTTATTTTGATTCAGCTGGTGCGAGGTCCCTTGGGTGTGCCACTGCAGCAGTCCATTCATGCACGCATCATGCTTGCGCTTGCTGCACTCTCCACTTTCAATTGTCTTGGCTTCTTTCCTCACTGCTCTCCCCACTCCTCTGCGCCCCCTTCACTTCCCTGTTTTCGACCCCTCCTCCTCCCTTCCTCTCTCTGTCCCGACCTGCCCCCTCTTGTCCCAGCAGGTCGCTCACACGGGAGTGGCAGTGGCGGGGGACATGGAGTGCACAGTCAGCAGCTGCTCTTCACCCAAACCACCTACAGCTAAGTACCCCGCCCTTCCTCTCTTCTCCCAACCCTCGCACTGTGTTGCTTTGCTTGTCATGCTTGCACCATGCATTACACTCCCGTTTTCACTGCTCTTTGTCACACCCATTAGACCTCCCTCCCCCAAGGTAGTAGGTATCTTTTTTCTTGGTACAGCCTCAGGTATTTGTTTTAGTTTGGTTCAGCTGGTACGAGGCCTCTTGGGTGTGCCACTGCAGCAGTCCATTCATGCACACATCATGCTTACGCTTGCCGCACTCTTCATCTCACTTGTCTTGGCTTCTTTCCTCACTGCTCTCCCCACTCCTCTGCGCCCCCTTCACTTCCCTGTTTTCTCCCCCTTCTCCTCCCTTCCTCTCTCTGTCCCCATCTGCCCCCTCTCGTCCCAGCAGGTCACTCGCATGGGAGTGGCAGTGGCGGGGACATGGAGTGAACAGGCAGCAGTTGCTCTCCACCCGACCCATCCACAGCTAAGCACCCGCCCTGCCTCTTGCGTTCATTTGTCGTTCCTCTTCAGTCCTTGCTGCATCTCTGTCGCTTGTGCATTCAAACGCAAGCTGCTGGTTGAGACAAAGCTTGAAGCCACAGACCCCGTTTCTTGGGTAAATCCACCCAGGTATTACAGGTATACGCTCAGGTCTGCAGGTAAGCCTCCCTAAGTGTGTACCCCCCTTCGATATGTGGCTTTTAGCTGAGGCTGCACCAGTGGCCCCCTTCTCTGCTCTCACCTGCCATTTCACCCCACCCCACCCATGCACTCCTCTCACATTTCTACCCCTACCAGCATACTCACTTCTCTTCCGTTCTCTCCTTTTTGTTGAGGGGAGGGGCATGGGGGTCAACACCGCCGCTCCCTCGCGCTCCTCCCCTGTGACCGTGCAGGTGGCAGTGGTGGAAGGGATGAGTACTCCACTCGGCTGGGGTGAAAAGGGAGAGTCTCGGGATTGGGTCGTCTGGAACAAGGTGAGCCTCTTTTCCCTCATGCCCTCATGCTGCTGCCTTGTTTCTCTAGATTCTCGTTTTTCTTGCTTGCTCCCTCCTTGCTTTCAGGCTTCTGCCTGCCCTTCTCCCCATTCTCACTACTGTCCCTTGCTCCCGTGCCTCCCTCCCTCTCCTCTCCCTCCCAGTGCATTGAAGGCTGTAGCAGGGCGGCAAGGGGGCAGCAGCGGGGCAGTAGCGGAGGGGATGGGAGGGGCAGCGGCAGCAGCTGAGGAAGCAGAGTAGCAGACCGACAGCAGCAGTAGCAGCAGCAGAAGCGGCAGCAGCAGCAGTAGGGGCTGGAGGGCAGGCTAGGTTAGGTTTAGCTGAGGTATGGTACCAAGCGGTATGGTAACAGGTAAGGTGTGGTAACATGTGAGGTATGGTAAGCTGATCGCCTCCTCTCTCTCTCACCCTGTACTCCCTGCAGGCTGAAGGTGGGAGCGCTGCCGCAAGGGCGGGGGAGTGGAGTCCACCCTCTCTCTCACCTCCTCCTCTCTCCCTTTTCCCTTCCCTACCAGCAGCACCCTGCCGGGACCACAGTGGTGGACCGAAGTGGAGTTCGGCCCTTACCTCCCCCCCCTTTTCTCTCTACTTCCCAGTAGCCTCAGCATCATGGCGCTCTGCATGGCTCTGGTAAGTGGAGGTAAGTAGAGGTAAGGAGGCATGGGTGTGAATCGTGGGGTGGGGGGAGCATGGGAGCAAGCAAGGAGTTCACTCCCTTGGGGGCAGCATTCTCTGGGGTTGTGTCTTGTGGTGGTGGGGTGTGGTGGGTGGAATCTGTGCGGCACGGCACTCGGTGCTCAAGTAACTGATCTGGCGTTCAAGGCCTAATGGACACCGTCAGAGCCGACCGGCCGGCGGCTCTGGTTCGCGTCAGCTCTGGCTACGTCAGGGGTGGGATTTGAGTCTTGAGCTGGAAGCATTTTTCCACTTCCGCGCCTTGCCCCAGAAGGCAAAGCCACTGGGGGTGTTGTTTCCTTGAGGAAGTGAGCTGTCTGCTGCTCATACTGCTGACAGGCAATGGTGGGGAGCGTGGGGGATGCTGGGAAGGTGATGGTGGTGAGAGGAAGGAAGGGGCCTGAATCCCTTTGGGTGGGTGAGTTGGAAGGAAGGGGCCTGAATCCCCTTGGGTGGGTGAGTTGGAAGGAAGGGGCCTGAATCCCCTTGGGTGGGTGCTGGTGCTGGCAGGTGAATGGTGGGGAGGGAGAGGTAAAGTGGCGGGTGTGGGTGGGGGTGGGGGTAGGTGGGTAGGTGTGAGGATAGGTGGCTGGAGTTTGGGCAGTGGGTGGTTAGCTGTGGGTTCAGTGGTTGATTGTTATTAGGTGGCCGTGGGTAGGTTGGTGGGCAGGCGAGTGGGAGGGGGTGTGTGTGTGGGTTGAGTGGGTGGTTCTGGGTAGGTGGGTGGGTGGGAAGGTGTAAGTGTGGGGATTGAATGGGTGGGTGGGAAGGAGTAGGTGTGTGTGTGGGTTGAATGGGTGACACTGGGTAGGTGGTTGGGTGGGCAGGCGTAGGTGTGTGGGTTGAATGGGTGACACTGGGTAGGTGGTTGGGTGGGCAGGCGTAGGTGTGTGGGTTGAATGGGTGACACTGGGTAGGTGGTTGGGTGGGAAGGCGTAGGTGTGTGGGTTGAATGGGTGGTCGGTGGTTGGGGTTGGGTGGATAGGACCATGGGCGGGTGAGTTGATGCCCGAATGGGTAGGCAGGTGGGTGAGAGGGTAGGTGGGTAGGTGGGTAGTTGGTGTATTGTGTGCTGGTTGTGTAAGGGACGAGGGTCAGTTGAGTGACAGGTGAAGGAGGGAGGTCTGACTCCCCCAAATGTAATTTGAGTAAGGCATGACTTGAAGGGCTGAAGTCCTATGGCGTTTGAGCGGTAGAAAAGGGGGTTGGAGTCCCTTGGGTGGGTGGGTGGGTGGGTGTTGAGCAGGCCTCACGTTTTCAGAGTAAATTACTCTGTTTCTCTGAAAATCCGAGTCATTTTTGAAAGTAACTCTGTACCCGCTGGGTAATTTTTTTGGGACTTCCGATTTCTCTGATTTGCCAGAGTTATGCTGTAGTTTACTCTGAGGCCTCTGGGTTTTTTTTTCGGGGACCAAATTTACTCTGTATAGGGAATACCTGCCGGCCCCCCCTCCCCACCTCCCCCTGCGTTTAGCGGGTTTTCCCCGAATCGTCGAGATCATTCTCCTGATTTCTGTCGTGTGTTGGCGGCAATATGAGCACTGATTGGCTACCGTAGTTTGACAACTTTCCCAATCAGCGCACGATGCCAACCAGTCCCCTCTCTCTTTATGTCTGAAGTGAACGTCGACGTTTCCCGACAAAACTTTGAGGGACGTCGAGGAATCCTGACGGTCGGAACGCTCAATCCGAGGGTTGAGATTCGCCAGCATTCCCCGACGAAACTGTACATCCGTCGACATTTCACTTCAGACACGCTCTTTGGGGGTGTCCGAAGTGAAACGGCGACATCCGTGGACATCCGTTTGGGGATGTCGGTAAATCCTGACGGTTGGAACTGTCGATCCGAGGGATGACATTCACCGACATCCAGCGACATCTATTGACGTTTCACTTCGGACACGCCCTTAGTCAGATTATCGGTGCCGCCAACACCTCACTCTGAAACATCGCAGTGAGGGGGGAAACGTGGGCGACGCGGAAATGCAAGTACAAAAGGCGTAACAAAAACCTATTGAGGTCATGGTACACCAAACTTAACGAACATCAGAGTAGAGAAAAATATTACTCTGATGTGCCTGGGTTTTTGTTTTCAAGTATAGGGTTACTCTGACAAATCAGAGTAAGGCGCAGGAACAACCCTAGATTTCAGAGTTGGGAAAAAAACTACTCTGGAAATCAGAGTACCTAAAATCCAAAAATAGGCCCTGGTGTTGAGTCCCGCATGGTAGGTTGGGCAGCAGCAGATGATGCACGGCCAACTGACTATGCCCGCTTCCTGCCTGCTTCCTACCTTGTTCTGTGGGTGAAACTCAGGCAGAGGTTTCAAAGGGGGGATTGCTGAGGTCACATGAGGATGGGGTCATGGCTCGAGTTTAGGCATGCTGTGGCTGCATGCATGAGAACGAGAGTAATGAGTAAGTCCCCTTTTGCCATGCTGTAGGGGCATTGGCAGGCCTGAGATGCAGTGAGCCTAGAGGCTGTTGGAGTGATGGCAATGCACTTGGTGGTTGGGGTTATCAGGGAGATGGGAGGGGCAGCTGGCTAGGGTTGTGCGTGGATGGTCATGCATGTTGCATGCTTGGGCTGGGTACATGCATGCATAGGCCCGTGGTGCATGGATGCATGTATGCATCTGGTGCATGCCTGTGTGATATTATTGTCAGGAAGTTTGTTGGACCTGCAAGATCTGCTGTTTGTTATGAGTGCGAGAGATTCGTGCCCTTGCTTTTAGCGTGCGGGTGGAATAGCGGAGGAGGGGTCGTTATTGCAAAATGTAATCTTCGTATCTGGTGAACCTGCTTTGCTGTCACTTGTCTTTACGTTGGTTGGCCCTTGAGGCGTATTTCCAACTATAGATTAGATGTGAAGATGTTGATGTTATGCACACTTGTATATCAGTGGAATAAATGATTCGTTTCTGTAGTTATTTGTTCATATTCACCAACAAGGTTGGTGGGAACATACATTCTTTTTGGGAACGAAACTCGTTGGGCTTGTAATGCGTACTGCTTTCATTCCATCTGATACATCCTGTTGCGAACTATCTGGTAACCAGCGAACTCTGCGTCGTTCTGACACCATCCCGCCATTTTCTTCTTCCCGCCACTCGGAATCAGAAAACAGACAAACCCCCATTTCCAACCCAACCCCCCAACCCAACCGCCTTCGCCCCTTCTCCTGATTGTGACCATGCAATAGCCGGCTGATCCTTATGTAATAAAGCGTACGTTATCGTCACACTCACATGCAAGCACCTAGAGCGTTTCCACCCGCGCAGCGAATCGGCTCGGCCACTCGCTCCGTAGCTGCGGCGGTTCTCGGGTCTCGTGGCGGCCGCGGCGGCGGCAGCGGCGACTGCGGCTTTCGGATCTGTCCATTGCCCAGTCAGTCGTCTCTTCTTATATCGCGATACTACCTCCCGCGATCGCCGCTTCACGCCTTCCGGGTTGACGCTTTCCGCATCGCGGTCAACGGTAACCGCGCCACCGTGGCTTCCGCGCCGTTTTCGCTTCTCCAGCGGTTCTGGACCGCCACGTCATCCACTCTCTGCAACGCTTTGTCGCCTGTCCCGTCGCGACGAAATGCGTCATTCAACGGAGAGAGGGAAACCGGTCCAGACGACTATGGCTATGGCGGTGCCAGCGATGAGGGTTCGGGACACGGCTCTACTCCTCCCATAGCGCCGGAATCGCCTTCTAGGAGCCTTCGGCAAAGCGATCTAGATCTTTTCGAGAAGACGAGGCCGTTTTCGCTCCCGCATCCGCATGCGGACAAGTCGCGCAGCCGTGGTGGTGCGGACGCCGACGCCGTCACGAGTCCCGAACGTCGCCGCCGCTCCCGCGCGGATTGGAGCGCCGATGCTGCGCCGCGCCACGGCGGAGGAGCGTCGGAGCCGCCGATGGTGTCGGGAGCGGGCGTTGGGGGAGGACTAGGGGGAGCGGGAGTTCCGCCGACCGCGAGCGCGCTCAGTCGTCCGGGGATCAGCTCTGTTCCGAGCAGCAGCGCCAGCGGAGCGGGTACGAGCAGGGTATGGGGGGGTAAAGTAGCGCCTTACTCGGCACGAGCGCAGGAGCAGGAGCAGCGGGAGCAGCGGAATCAGCAGCGGCAGCGGGAGACGTGGCAGCGCAGCGACGGCAGCGCGCACGTGGGGAGCTCCCCTACGCGGACCAGCAGCAGCGGCGGAGGCGGCGGCGGCAACAGTAACCTCAGCGGCGGGAGCAGCAGGGGCAGGGGAAGCAGCGAGCGCAGCTCCGGAGTCGCCTCAGGCGGAATCGGCTCAGAGGCGTTCGGAACTCCGCCCGAATCCCCGTCGGGGTCCTTAGACAGTTACCAGCACAGGCCGAAGCGGCAGTTCGTGGGGAGGAGCGCTGAGCGGGAGGGGGAATCGCCGGGGGAGAGGGGACGGCCAGTGACGTCGAGGCAGCTGTTCGGGGGGAAGGGGGAGGCGGAAGGGGAACGGGAGGGGGTGGGGGAGGGGCAGCGGCGGCGGAAGCAGGCTGGCACGGGCGCGGGGGCAGGCGGGGTTGCAGGCGTTGGCGGAGGAGTGGGGCAGGTTGTGAATG